TATGTGAGTAGAGTTTCGAGACCACCAGTAAATCAGTAAAGTGAGATGTAGTCGACTGTTATAGCAAATGAACACTTGGTTCACCGACAATCCCACCAAAGAATATGATATAGCAAAAGGCCTGGTCTTCCTTGAAATTCATATCTACCCTGTGACCCAAGAGCAGTCGTGGCAATGTGGTCGAGTGGTTAGTGTCAAGCTCCCATCCTGCACTGTCACGGTTCGACTCCCGCTGAGAGTGTTGATAAGAGGGATGCGGAGTCGAAACTGCAGTTCACTCCTGCCTGGATGAGAACAACTTTTGGGGAAGCAAGGCTCTGTTCATTTCAATAGAAACGTCAGCTCTACTCATATCATTGTGGGAAAATTCTACTACCAGTCCTTCATCACCTTAAACCAAATAAGGTAAATACATCTCATAGGCTTTATACATTTAATTTACTATTTCCATATGGTACCTCAAAATGGCTATCTCTTAGAGGAACGTGTAATTTATATTCAATGTTGGCCTCTACTGGAAACCATCGGAAAATCTTTTAGGCTCCACAATTACTTTCTCACTTGAGTACGTATCCATTAACAAAGCGATATTTAACTCTCTCTTAGTGATATCACATACTGTTTTTAGCAGGCTTGCCACATTCTCTAACTAACTCCTTTGATGTTTCCCTTATATTTCTCATTAAACTTATTTTCACCTCCGAAACACATTAGCCTATTCCTTCATAAATCCAGCTAATATTCTAATTCCTGAATAAAAATAGTTTATCTACTTTGACGTTTTTAGTCCCGTATAATGAAAAAGAAACCCTGTTTGGTTCTTGTCAAAATTCATCGTAGATTTTAGTTTAAAGCTTCACCGACAGAGTCACATTATAGTGTTGGGAAGACTTTCATTTCGTATGAAAGTGAAGGAACAAAAGATTTGAAAGTCGATCTCACCAGAATACGACAGCTGATTCTCGTTGCACTGCGACCGTTTGATTTTAATTCAACTCTATTGCTGACACAGCCCACGAGACATCCTTCATAGTTTTTGGTGAAGATGGGCTGATATCTGATCCATCAAATGATGGATATCATCAAGGCCCGAAATCATTCTTTTTAAAGTCTCCAGTTAGTACTAGGTCACACAAATAAAGCAACTTCAGATAACACTGTCATTATTGTGATTGCTGAGGACGAAAGATTTCCACTTATACACACTTATTGATTCCACTCTCATTCGCATTTTTGAGGGCATATAATGCACGGTGACATATTAAGAGGGATGAAATAGAATTTGTCATATCATAAGGACTTTTATGTGAATTTCATTTCTTGCCTCAGCCTGAATATGGCTGTAAGGATGGTACTCTGCTCTGATGATGTACGTCATACGAAGTACGAAAGCTTAGCACTGTTACAACGGAATCGAAGGAGATTGCCTTGTCAACAGCGCCAGCAAGAACGTTCCAGTAAAGCCAATCGACAGCCGGTCAAGAAGGATCCACAGTCGTATTCTGGTGGGATCGACCTCTATACCAAGCACTTTTACTTGAAATGGAAGTTATCCCAATAGTAAAAAACTAAGCCATTCCCCGAGGCCCAACTTTTATTCGTAAAAATCATTTCTGTAGGCATGAAGGCAGTGTTAATAAGTGAAACTAATGCTGGACACAATAGTAACGACCAGCTGAAGAAACATTTAAGCTAGGAGTCTTCATGCCAGAAAGATAATAGCCAGTGTATAGACTATATCATGTGAATTGTTGACTTTTAATGAAACTGTTGTAGCCAACTTGGATCGTCAACTTTAGGAAATCTCTCGGAAATACAACTAGCTTAATCCAACATAAGGTGAGTACACAACGCTGATGTATAGTATAAAACCACGACATAAACGATGCGCAATAAGAATTCAGAGTATAAGCTTATCATTTCTATTTTCTCTCACCAAGTGGTGGCCACATGTTAATTCCATTGAAACGTTGTACCTCAATGCCAGACTGAAAACCGAGAAGGCTTCTGCTTCTTTTAGGCATGATCTGATGAATATGTAGAGATCTTAGACTGAAAAAGCTAGAGAGTCGCATATGAAAATATATCTGCCGACAGCATACCATCATTCTGGTGTGACCTCTTCTTCGCAACTAGTCGGAGCAGCAAGTATAACTTGCGATACTTATCTGGTCCTGCGTCCTCTCCCTGTTGCTGTGACCAAGTTGCCAAAAGGTGGTCAGGCAAATATTGTGCAGTCTAAGAATACTGCGGCCAAATCAGTGTCCAGACCATCTTGATCTTCACATAAATTATTAGGGTTTATCGGGAAAATGTTTGATTTATGTATGCTCAATCATGCCCTTTCAGGCTGCTTCTGTGCAGTCGTAGCCAAATCCAAAGGACATGTTCACGAAAAAATTTTTGTGAGATTCCTAGTCCCTTCGAAGGTGGTACATTGGACAAGTGAGAAAACACCGAATCCGTGACTGGCCAACATCTTTGAAGATGCAAACTATTTTTACTTTTATTGGTTTTACTTAGACTCATTTGTAATTATAACGTAATCCACGGGTTGGCCCGCTCCTCTGTCATCTGTTCTTCTGTGTCCCTCCATTTCGCACAGGTTATAAAGTTACACATTTATCCTTATATACTCTTGCTAGAAAGACGACTAGTTATGCGTACCTTGCCTCATATCTTACATTATTTGGCTCAATCGTGAAGGTTTTGAGCCATCCTTACGCCAATCTTGCCCTAAAGTTGTCTCAGCCTGAAGCCGAATTCACACTCCTTGCAAATTAGCCTGTTATTTTACCGCAAGACAGGAGTATCTCTGAGAATCTATTCATACTGGCTCAGATTTCTCTCCTCCTTCACTCAAAGTATAAACTAACGGTTTCCACCTTTTTTCATGAATCATCCAAAATGAGAGTTTATCTATATCAACCTGGATTCATGAAAAAGAAGATTTTCAAAACTTTTTGCCAAGGCTATTTTATGGTGATATTTAAGTTGGGCATAATCGAATTTTTTTATAATTCTATAAAGAATTACAGCTGTCTCAAAGGAAAGCATGGAGTCCAGAGCATGGGATAATAAAATTAGCTCTAGGATAGACAGATTTCATTTACTGTAAAGTGAAACTTAAGTTTTTTGCGATTCTCTATTACAATAAATGCTGAAAAATAGGAGCTGAAAATTTTTTCATATTTGTAAGAAGCCTATTAAATAGGTAATATGAGAGTGGCTACTAGGAAAAGATCCTAGCCAGGGTTGACACAAATCAAACCCTACTGATACAGACAAGCAACATTTGCCTATTTTTCTGACTAATCATTCAAGATCTGATTAAAGTGAACTTGTGTAAAATGGATATTCTTAAATGTCCCCGTATTAACGCGATACTTTGAAGCCCAGTTAGATATAGCATGATCCCATGGAAGCAAGATATTTGACCTTCCTTAATTCTATAATAATAAAGAGAACTTTAAGTGTTCACCAGTTTTTGTTAAACGCGTCATCAAGGGTTACAGATCTGAAAAATGCAGATTGGTGTTATTCCTGATGTATAACCAGTAGTGATAGTAAGCGATCAATTCGAGCAAACTTATATGGACAAAAATTGAGTAAGCATAAATTGCAATCCTAGATCAGGGATACATCTTTAGTTCCGTATACTAACTTGTGCATGCACTGTTAAGCCCCTGAAAACACATCAATATTAGCTTTAGTAACCCATGGACTTTGATCGTTTTTAAACTCAATCTGTTGTGCTGATTACAGAAAGAAAATAAAATTTTTTCAGGAGTGTCTGGTAAAATTATTTTACATAACGGAGCACTTTTACTCCTCTTGTCAAAGGTTCACAATCGTTATTTAGCGAAGAGGACTTTTTCCCCTACATTCATATTTCTATAGGTAGGCATGAAAGCCGGTAGCAGCCATATGTTTGGCCAGCAGATAGAAGTAATTCTAGACAAGTTCTGGAATAGTTCAAATACCCAGACTTTATCAATTTTAAAATGCTTTCCTTATTAAGAATTCTTAATCAGTCCTCCGGACTAGATTTTTAATTAGCGCCTCCCATTTTTTCCAGATAATGTCTCAAAAAAAGAAGCCGGTATCACGTGAGCTTGTCATACTACAAGTTTTGAGCTGGCCGAATGAGCTGTCCGTGCCGAAGGACCCGACAGACATGACTTTGGTCGTTAATCTTGCTCGTGAATGCAACTCCCAAGTTCAGCCGACAGGACCGATTCTGGTAGTCTGCCGGT